ACCATTTTGTTCTGTAATTTGAGGGATTACTTGTCTCCAATATTATATTCCCAGCTAGTCTGGTCTGGCAGAGTTGGTATGCTCCAGCTTCCTTCAATTAAAATAATGATATCTATCAGGACCCAGAATTGTGCCTTCTTTGTAGCAGCACCTGCTCTCTGGAGTGAGGTTCTTCCAGAGGTTTGAAAAGCTCCCATCCTGCAAATATTTTGAAAGGCCCTAAAGATGTGACTCTTAAACCAAGAAGGATAGACACTCCTTTTCTTCCTTTTCTTTGTTCCCATCCAGGTTTGTTTGCTTTACCATCTTTGTTCTTTTATTTTTTGGGGGAGGGGGTTGTTGTTGTGTTGCTTATTTTAAAATTTTAAAATTGTTTAAATTAAATTATTATTTTTAGAAGCACAATTAGTGATGCCAAATATAGAACAGTAAGTCTTGTTTGCACAGATTCAAATAGTCTAAAGTTACAGTATGGGATACCTTTGGGTATCGGCATAATGCAAGAATCCTTCCAATTTCAATTTATTCTACTTGAACCATAGGTAGTTTAATGTGGGATGTAAGCATCATGCAAGAAGCTCATTTTAAAAAAAAATCAGCATGCATGGCCACAGGATTTGCTTTAAACTTCAGTGATCTCAATGATAAAAAAACAAAGATCTTATATCAGCAAAAGATATCCGTACATATTTTCCAACTAAGGCAATAAATATGTGTGGGACAAAGTTAAATGGTTCACCTCCTTGATGTTAGTGGTCTTAATCCAGATTGGGCCAGTGTGCATCTATACAGAATACACTCAAACTGAAAACATTCTGGAACAATTTATATGTTAAATACTATGTAGTTTGGCCCTCAGAATTAGCTGCTAGTAACTAGATATTGATACCTTTGTTCAGTTTACAAAAACCCTTCAACTAATATCCCTATTAATGTTACTGCACTTATTGTAGTTGCCTATTTGATATCTATACTAATCAGTTCTTAATCCCAGTCTTCATCCATCTACCTTCTACTGCTCAACAACAGGCTGAATCTCCAGAAATAAGCAGATTTGCAAAGGGTCTTAACTCTTTTAAATTTGTACTCCAATTTGCCATTTGAGGTCAGCTGTGATTCAGTTAAAGGCATTTCTCCCTTTTATTAATCTTTAGTCTTGATAAGCCACTTTTGATGATGGAGAAAGTAGAAGTCAAGCCTAGAGTAATACAGTCCTATTGATATTTATTTGGAAGTAAAAATACCTTTAAAAGGAGATGTAATTTTTCAAGACTGAAATCCTATTCCAGATCTGGCTGCAACAATGCAGATGACCTTACGACGGCAAAACCAACAATTCACCTGGAATTCTGGTAGTCTTAGATTACACTCTACTAGGCCCATGGAATGTTCAATCAAGGATATTACAAGAAATTTAGGCTATTTATTATTCCAAACTTACAGAGAAAAGCCAAACTATTCAAAGCAACATTAGAATTTATCTACTCCTTTAAAAGACAAATGAAACAGGTTTTATTGACAATTTTGATTAAACCCTTTCATTAAGCTTACATTCTATTTCCAAAGAAAATTATTAACATGCTTTTGAGTTACTATGTATTCTCAAAACTATTTTTTAAAAAAACGAATTCCAGAATGGGACACATAATTTTAATTTGTTTTCCGGTCATTTTTCTACAGTTTGCAGCCAGTTTCCACCAAAGTGGTCCCTTTCATTGGTGCTGGATGAAAATTGTCAGAATAACCAGTGAGAGAGAATACACTAGACTACACAAGGTTGCTTTGCAAAATAAAAATGAACCTTGTTCCTTTAAGAGTTAGTTCCAGCTCTTTATAGCCAATGCCAGCAAATTCCACTTCAGCCTTTGAGCTTTGTTTGTTCCCAAGATCCTAGATACCATTGCCCAGAACTGCCTACAGGTCTGGCTGCCCTTTTGAGATCAACAGTTGCTTTCTCATTCTCTTAAAACCTTACTGGCAGCTTTTCCTGTTGCTAGACCACCCACTCTCTCTTTGTTCTTTTACCATGCCATCCCACACAGCTACTCTCCTCCACACCTAGCCAACTCTAGCTGATTTCAAAACACTGAGCAGGGTTAAGCTACAAAGCACTTGGATGGGAGACCACCAGGAGACCCCAAAGCTATAGGCAAAAACGGAGTTGAAAAAAACATCCCAAAAGAAGGGAATTGCAGAACAACCTCATTCTATTATCAAGACATCTACATTTGTGTCCACAAAGTCACTAGGGGTTAAGGTCATCTGAGGACGTCATTAACTTGGTTTGCTCTCCTTCAGCTACTAAGGAAACAAATTATATGATGCCAAAGGCACATAACTTTTTTACAAGGCAGTATTTACAACTCATTAGAAAATTGAGAAATTCTATTTTGTTGGCAGTATTCTTTTCATTAGTCAGCACAGTATATTGCAAGATCAAAGGCTTCCTATCTAATCATTACACAAACAAAATATAACAGTAGATCCATAGCAGAAAGGTATCCCTAAGGATAGGCAGTCTAGCATTCTCTAAATTTCTGAACAACTCCCACCAGACAAGCTCTTTTCTTGTGCAAACTGGCTGGAGCTGCTATGGGTGAATGCTGAAACATTTATAGAGTAGATGATCAGAACACATTCCCACAAAAAGTAATGCAAGTTTCATCCCATGTTACTATTTTTATATTACACCCAAAGGGGGGGGGGCAAACCTTGGCATTTACCCCAAGGATGACATAAATGAAAAAAATATATATTTTTTTCACTTCAGAAAAGATGCCCAAGCTCCTTTTTCCTGTTGCAATGGAAGTGCAACTCCCTCAAACTTCTTCTTTAGAGGTAGCCCTCACTTATCAACCACTCATTCAGCACCCCCTTAACTTATGACAGTGGTGGAAACAAAGACAACTGATCCATTAATTTGTGGTTTTATCAGGTCATGTGATTGCAATTCAGGCACTTTGCAGCTCACACATATTTTATGATGTTTAGAGCAGGTGTCTCCAACCTTGGCAACTTTAAGACTTGTGGACTTCAACTCCCAGAACCCAGAAGTCCACAAGTCTTAAAGTTGCCAAGGTTGGAGAATCCTGGTTTAGAGCATCCCGCAGTTATGTGGTCACCATTGCAAGTTTCCAACAAGCAAAATCAATGGGGAAACCAGGGGCAAGTTGTGATCACTTATATCACACTTAACAACCGTGCCACTTACTGACAGAATTGTCAGTCCCAACTGCAGTTGGTGAGGTCTTCCTGTACATGCTCATGAAAGCAGTCAGAAAGTTATAAATACAAATTGAAAGCAAACTTCTCTGGAATTTTGACATTGATTCTGCGTTGCAAGTACGTCAGTGCAAATGAATGTATGAAAATGCAATGCAGAAATACCTAATGCACTCTGTTATCCTGACACTGGGATTTACTACATATTTCAGCGCTTTCAATTTTATACTATATTTCAAAGGTTGAGATTGCATAGCACACTACAATTAATATATATTTGGCAAATATTTGACTCAGGTACAAACACAGCTAATTTTTGGCTCAGTTAACCCAGATTACCAGACTATGCAAACAGAACCAAAATACCATGTTAGAATTCAGAAAGTAAACTTACATATTAAAAATGAACATAAAATTCATAAAAGTCCCCTATCTTTTAAATGACCAATTTGGGACATTAATAATTGCCTAATATATTTTAAAGTCTACTATAGAATGTGTGTGTGTGTGTGTGTGTGTGTGTGTGTGTGTGTGTGTGTGTGTGTTATGCTGGTCCAAAACAAATGTTGCAACTTTCTGGAACAATTATTTAAAAAAAAACCACAAGTCTCAGAATCCATCATGTGAACACACTTCCCCCAAACTGGAATTTTATAGATGTGACTGGAATTGTAACTTCCAGAATTCAGGAACGACAGACCAGAAATTTTGGAAATTGCAGTTCCAACTGGGGGAGGAGGAAGGTGTACCAGATTGGGAAAAATGGATCTATAGTTACTCCATCTAAGTAAAAGACATATAATACATATATTACTAACATTGGGTAAACCCATCAAACGCAGGATGTTAAGACACAAATAGGCGCACTCACCCCTATCAACTCTAAAAGCAGGACAAGGAAACATTGGTCTCACCACCACCCCAACCCCCCCCCCGACTTCTCACAGCCCTTTTTACTTTCTGCAGATCGCAGATCGCTTAAAAGAAATAGGATGGACTAAACAGCTAATGAATTATGATTATTTGCAGAAACAATCCACATAACAGACCTATGGTTGTCTTTCCTTGGGGGGAAAAAAAAATCAAAGCAATCAAGTGTTCCTGGGCGAGCACGCGGCTATCTCCTAGTTCCACTTCCACAGAATAAACCCACGAGAAGAACTTTGATCCCTTCCCCCGCTCCGCCCCCGCCTTCCCCCACTCCCACGCGGATTTCCGAAACAAAAAGTTGGATGTCCAACAAAACTTCCTGCGGCTTAAATAAAATGAACTTTCATCTCTCCTTTCCCCCCCATCCTACCCCACCCCCCATCCCTTCTTTTCCACAGCGGGATCCAAATCCAAAGGAGTGGAAGGGGGTGGGTGGGATTTCCAAAGCCCGGAGCTTCCCTTCCCCGTTTCGCCGCAACAGCCGGCGCGATCCCGAATTATTAAAAACAAACAGTACCAAGAGAAAGAAACGCCCGCGGCGCCCTTTCACTCACTCACACACACTCACGCAGCCTCCACTCCCGCTCGTCACTTTCAGGAACTTTGTGGGCCTCCAACAAACCAAGCACTTCTTTTTTCACCCCCCTCCACATACACGCGAGACAAAGAGCACGACCCTCCGGCAAAAGATGGGAAGGACAAGGAGTCGCGCTTCCCCCTTGAAGATCTCAAGTGCGCCCTTCCTTCCTCGGGGGCCGCTCGGCCAGGTAGCCTCCCGCGTCCGCCCACCCGCTGCTAGACGCAGCCAGGCGGGAGCCCCGAAACACCCCGGAATTCGCCCCCAGTACCTTCGCCTGGCGAGCCGGGTGGTCCTGACGCTGCTGGCGGCGGGAGAGGCTCGGGTCGCTTTTCCCAAAACGCTACGCCGAGGCAGCGACTCCTCCCAGTCGTCTCGCGGCTCCGGCAGCTGCTTCGGTGCTTTTAATCGTCTGAATAAACTCTGGTCTTTCCGAGACGCCTAGCGGAAGGACGGGACCACTGCCGCTGCCTTGGGGGGGGAGACGCAGGGAGGACGTCGAAGCGCCGCCGCGGCTGGAAGTGGAATTCGGATCCCGGGAAGGGAAGTCGGTGCTTGTTAAGCGGAGGGCACGCGAGACACGCTGTCTGGGGTGGGGGGTGTGGATGATGTCACCGGGTGGCCTTCTGAGCTGAGGGACCCCTTTCCTGGCGTTGGCTGCAAGTACCGGTAAGTGGAGTAACAAGGTTGTGGAAAGCAAGCTGAGCTTGTCTCCCGGTGACTTTTATCCCTGTGACCTTCTCAAACACAACATGAAAGTGGTCCCAAGTGGCCTATTTCAGAAGGCAACTGGACTTTGTTTTTCAAGGAAGAGCATCAAAAAAAAAAAAAAAGATTTTCCATTCAAGAACAAGCCAGGCCCCTTCTCATTTAACTTTTCAAGATTAATCAGGGTCAGGTAGATGTAGCTGTTTAGTGGGAGTAACCAGTGATGAAATCCAAATTATTTTACGACCAGTTCTGTGGGCATGGTTTGGTGGGCGTGGGAGGGGAAGGATATTGCAAAATCTCCATTCCCACCCCACTCTGGGACCAGCCAGAGGTGGTATTTACCAGTTTTCCAAACTACTCAAAATTTTCACTACCGATTCTCTCGAACCTGTCAGAACCTGCTGGATTTCACCCCTGGGAGTAACAAAACTGACCTGTCTATATTGCAGTTATGAATAGTTTGGGTTTTATAACATGGCTACTCTTTGTCAACTGAAAGTTTATTGAGGTTGGTACCACAAACTTATGACTAGGCTAAAGAATGATTGACTCATTTGTGGCTTAATGTGTTATACAAATATAACCACAATCTATTGTAGGAAGTTAGCACCCACCCCTTTCCTGGAAGAGTGAAATATTTTAGGAAATATGAAAAAGGCAGAATATTATATTTCCCTGGATGAGAAATGGAGAAGCATATTTTACAGACAAAGCAGCTCCCACCTTCCTGCCCCCCACCCTTTGTCAATGGGCCATTAAGGCCTGGGCCAGTCTATTCTACATAACAAAGATCTGCCTCCTTCAGGCAGAGCCATAGTAGGAATTGCCAAAGATCCAACAAAGATAGGATTAGCCCTCTACACAATAGCAGCAGAAACTCACCGCATGTGACCTGGGAAGCACATGTGACCATCAGCCAGCACGGCCCCCACCCCCTGGAAGTCTGACAACCAATCAGGATACTCTTTCGGGGCCCCAAGAAATGCAGAGCCAGAGAGAGCATAAAAACCCAAGGACTCTCTGTATCTGCCCCTTTTCTGTTCAGGAACTCAAGCCATGTGATCCTGTCCACCATTAAACCATCTTTCCAAGCAGTCTCCATGTTTCCAGTGTCTTTTTCCCCACTTGGAGCAGAACCTAGAAGGATGTTTCTTCCAACACTATCATAAAGGAATAGAATCGAGCTGAAAGGGACTTTGGAGGTCTTCTCTCTAGTCCAACTCCCTGCTCAAGCAGGAGACCCTATACCCGTGATGGTGAACCTATGGCACAGGTGGCACGCAGAGCCATGTCAGTGGGCACGCAAGTGTTGCCCTAGTTTAGCTCCGGCGCACATGCGTGTGCCGGCCAACTGATTTTCAGGCCTTCCAGGCCCACCGGAAGTTGGAAAACAGGCTGTTTCTGGCCTCCGGAAGGTCTCCAGAAGGCCTCCGAGGGGTGGGGAAGAACGTTTTCATCCTCCCCAGGCTCCTAGAAAGGCTATGGAGCCTGGGGAGGGCAAAATAAGGGCCTACTGGGCCCACCATGCCATCATGTGCCAAAAGCGGAGGGGAGCATAGGGGGGGTCACGTGCATGGGCGGGATGCATTGAATTATGGGTGTGGGCACGCACTCGCACGACCACCCCCTGCACTCTCCCCGCTCTTGGCACGCAATGGTAAAAAGGCCTATACCATTTCAGACAAGTGGATGTCCAGTTAGAGAATGGAACTGCTTTTCTAAAAATAATTCATAGTTCCTGCTTGCAGTCTTAAAGGTAAAACATCTTTGCAGACTCACCAAATTTTAAATTAAAAAAAAAACAATTCTGAATATGTCAATGCACTGCACTGCAAAGAACTATTACAAGAAGAAGAAGAAAAACAAACTCCAAAATGCAGTTTTGGGAATAGGGCAAATTAGGGACTTCCAGAGAGTAATGACTGCAGAGATAGTGTAGTGGTTTGTCTTCCCACAAACTATTACAGTCTCATTAATGATTGAAAACATGTAATTATCCACAATGACACAATCTTAGTTAATTTTCCTGTCTAAATTGCTATAACCATGTGAAAAGTGAGGAACTTTTCTAAGATTCCTACTTCACAACAGTTGGACTTAAAAAGAGTTTTTTTTTAATTTGTTACATCTATATCTTTTTTCCCCCCTCAGAACTTAAAGCTAGGATTAGACCAAAACATCCTGGGGAATTGGCAGATTTTTCCATTGTTATTAGAAAGTTGCTGTAATTTTCAACGCCGAATTTATGGCTTTCTGTTCTACAGACAGACTGTGTGTGCAGAATAGAGAGAGGTATTGCTGGCAAAAGTTCCTATAATGCCATCATTTGAATATTGTCCAGTCTCCATGGTGTGGATTTTTTTATCTGTACACTCCCAAACCACCAAATTTTATTAAATGGATGGGGAATTCCTACAAGTTAGTAAATCATAAATGCAAAAATGGCAGGGCTACATTATTTCTTGTTATTCATGTAACTCATGGTGAAGAAAAATTCACCTCTAAGTATAAACTATTAGATTTTACTTTCTGTTTTTAAAAAAAACGGCAACACACACGCACACACAGCTGCTTCTGATCTACTTTATTCTTTATTCTTTTGGTTTCTGCTGAGAGATTAAATTGCTGATGGTATATTCAAAGCCAGGTGCTGTCATGTTGATTCACCCACCTCATTGCAATGTCTCCTCTTCATTAATAGTATCCAGCAAAAACAGAGATGATACTGATAGACTTTGGTTGGGGATACTTCTTTCCTTGCTAGAAGCCTCTCTCTTTAGAAAAGGAAGTGAGTCATCATTTTCCTAATGAAGACTCTTCAAAGGGAATTTTTTTTCTGTGCATTCTTAAGTAAACAAAGCCTGAGGGCACAAATAAGTGGAAATACATTCTTGCTTGAAGGTATGGTACAGAGCTTCCTTTTTGGGGGGGGGAAAATACAGTATAGCATCAACTGATGGAGAAAGATGTTTGATCATTTGCAGCAAAGCCGGAATTTAACTCTTCTTCCTCCAGTTTTGCTGCTCTTTCATTGCTTTGATAGTATTTGGATGTTTAAAAGGGTGCACATTAAATGCAAAAACACAGTTTCACTTGTATTATAACCAGTACAAATATGAATGATACTGTGATGTTTTATCAAAACTAACAAGTGTTTTGAATACACTTTCTAAGCACACAGGGAGGTAGAATCATGTACAACCAAACACACCAAGAAAAGTATGTATGAAAGCACTCTTATCTGCAGGCACTGTATTGAGAATATTGCAAGATGCAGTGACTTCCTGATAAAGGTGAACTTTAAAATAATAGTAAAAGAAATTGGGATGGTGGATACATGGAAATGTCCCAAGAAGCAATTCCAGATGTAAAGAATACAAAGGTGAAATCAGCAGAATTATTTTGGGGAGAAAGAAAAGATTTGGGTAGAACTAAACAAATGAAACTAACCAAAGAAGAACGATAAACACAAAGAAATATGAATAGGCAAGTCCATCAGAGCTTTGAACAGGAGAAAAAGTCACTGAGCAGAATCCAAGAATGTGAAGAAACCTAATAAAGAAATGCAAGGAGGGGGATGACATTCAAACAAGGGAGGTAGGTCAAGAAAGACATTTCCTTGGCAGGAAATAGTCTGCATTATAGAAAGGTTATTTTAAGTGTAACGTTCTTGCATTTGTTACATGAGGGATTTTGTGCCTCATATACCATAATGCTGCTCTGCTTTAGATACATTAATATATGTGCAGACAGGAGAGAGGATATGCTACTTAGTTAGCAAAACATCTTCATCACACCTAGCTAGAGAAGTAAATCATTCTGGAAGGATGAAGAAATGTTAGATGGAAAAACACAGGTGTAGCAGTGGTGAAATCCAATTTTTTTTTACTACCGGTTCTGTGGGTGTGGCTTGGTGGACATGGGGTGACTTGGTGAGCATGGCTTGGTGGGCGTGGCAGGGAAGGATACTGCAAAATCTCCATTCCCACCCCACTCTGGGGCCAGCCAGAGGTGGTATTTGCTGGTTCTCTGAACTACTCAAAATTTCCGCTATTGGTTCTCCAGAACCTGTCAGAACCTGCTGGATTTCACCCCTGAGGTGTAGATAGGACAGTGGAAGAACTCTAGTAGCTGAGACACTTTGTTCATGGAACAATGGAAAAAAGTTTCGCAGAAGAGCCAGAGAAGAAAAGCCATCTTTGGTAGAAGATAAACAATATAGTGCAATAGTTCTCAGCCTTTTCTTCACTACTTTAATTACCTTTGTGGCCACGGACCATGGCCATGGATCATGGCCACGGATCACCAGGGCTTAACTCAAGATTTAAATCATAAATTTTCTTCAAGCCTTCGCAGACTCCCTGTGACGACAACATGCCTCCCTCCAGAAATCAGCGGACCACAGGTTGAGAAGCACTGATATATAGTGGTTTGAATATAGCAAAGAAGGGTAAAGAAATGCTCAAAGGGGAAAGCAAGACTCACTCAAGAGTGTAGATGGCAACAGGGTGGATACAGAGATCAAGTGACAAAATGAGACCTAAAAGAGAAGAAATTTTGTGGCAGAGCTAATGAGAGAGAGAAAAAAATACCAGGCTTGCCACTGGAGACATGAAATAAAGGATCCCTGTAAAGAACAGCTAGATGTCCTCAATGTAGAAGTGATATGAAAAGTCATCAGAAGGATGACAGTATATACTTATACTTTTATATAAGTACAAGGCTTATATAAAATATAAGCCTTGTACAAAGCCAATAGATGGAGGGAAAACATTGTTAATGGCTATTTTGTGTCAATGAATTCTAATG